ATAAAAGTAAAGAAACAAGGAGTTTTCAATTATCGGAATGCCCCCTATCTGAGTTTATTTAAATTTAACATTTCACCAAAAAAAAAAAAGAAACAAGGAGTTCAATATCTTCTCTGTTTTGTAGTCTCAGATCTATCTCACCAAACTTCTAAAACTCTCTTCTTTCAATGGTAAAAACAATTTGCTCTTCTCCAAACTAGGTCTAGAAGGTCTCTAGGAAAGTCTACCTCTAAAATGATAGAAAACCTTAATAATATAGCCTACATGCGACTAGGAACTTTAATTGCAATTAATAGAACTTTTGTGAAACTTGAAGTCTTCTAATGTGTCGTTAATTCGCGGATGGCTTTGGCGTTGATCGATTACAACATGGTTGCGCCGATCGATTATAATTGGTCGCCAACGATCGTCATAGCTCTTCAAGCATCGATCGATATTTCACCTCGGCAGAAGTTATCTTCAAATCCTCCAAAATGTTCCAAAAACATCATTTTTCTTCATGAGTACTTGAACCTGTAGATTACTCTAAAATGACTCCAAATGCTTATAAAATACTTGAAAATTATATCTAGGTAATGGTTGAAAATGGATAAAATTCATGACCTATCACCTCCCCTGCATCGAGATAAGAAAATATAAAAAAAGTTTATAATTTCATGCTTGTTCTACAAAACTTAATTGTCTATATAAAAATACATGATTTCTTCCCACATTGTTTCTTTAGTCACTGCATCAAATCTTCTCTATTCTGTAAGTGTTACCGAAATGTGTTCCCTTACAAGAGGACCAAACAAAGATGATAATGTCACTGAACCAGGTCCAACATGCTCACCAAATTCAGTGAATGTAATTGCAACATTTTCATTAGGATTTTCAGCCATTTTACGCATCTTTGTTCGTCCTCTTTTATTTTTTTGCTTTCACCTCATCCTCTGGTAACACAACTCCTTCAGTACTAAGAATTTCATCATGATGAGCATTACTAACTCTATCTTCTTTCATATTGAGAACTTTTTCTTGTTTCTCGTTCTCATTCTTGTCATTATTTTTCTCTATGTGTTCACCTTCTTCTTCCATATTTGCATCTTCTTCTTCATCCTCCTTTTGTTCGATATTGGCATCTTCTTCTTCATCCTCATTATCATCTTCAGCCTCACCTGCCTCATTGTCATTACCCTTATCTTCTTCCACAGCATCATCTGACGGGGTTAAATCTTCTACCTCATCATCTTGCAGAGTTACATCTTCTACCTTATCATCATCCGGAATTAAATCTTCTACCTCATCATCTTCTGGTGTTACTTCTTTAGCAGTCAATTTCTTCTTTCTACCCCTTCTTCTCTTAGTTATAACCCCTGTCTTTTTTTGGGGAAACCACTTTCTTTGCTATTGTTTTTCTATTCACCTTTAGTTTGTTTGGGGAAGCCGCATTATTTTTTAGGGAATCAAACATTGTCTTCTTTGGGAAAGTCACTGTCATCTTAGAGGAAACCATTGTCTTTTCTACCTCCAAACCTTGATTATGTATACTACAACGAGAACCAACTTGTCCTCCTCCTCTTGTCCTCGGCGACATTTCTGAAAAGATCCAAACGTAATACATTAGATTGAAATCCAAAAGAGTCTAAATCAAAACCTAAATCACAAACTTCCACATGCGTATTCAAACAATCTAAGAATCTATACCCAAAATAGTCTTAATCGAAACCCAAAATACAAGATACCACATACATGTTCACACAAAAAAGAACCAAAACCCCAAATCAAAATAGTTTTCAACTCCTATGATGATAATGAAGAACCGAGATTGATGAGAAAGAACAAAGAAGCTATGATTGAAGAGAACATATATTTTCAAGCTTCGATTTCTCAGAGAAACATTGGAGAAGGGTTTCGTTTTGGAAAACTTTTTTTTTAGAGAAGTGAAAAAGAACTAAACTTATATCGACGAGTGTACTTATATATTAAAATTTTAGATATATTCATTGACAATAGCGTTTCTTTTTAGTTTTGCAATTTTACGGCGCCTACACTAAGAAAATTTACGCGGCTAAACATTTTTATTTTCCGCGAGAACTAATATATCGTTTAAGAATGACAAACGCTATACAAAAGGTATTTGTTGATATATAATAGCATACATGTAAAAAATGCTATAATCTGATGCTATCAATAACCACATTTCTTGTAGTGTAAATCTTTCAAACAACACACTCAGTTGATGTGGTACCTTAGAACATGGTTGCATAGCTTTCAGTATCGTTACTGGATGATGTAAAGATGGTTCTCCATTCAACACTACTTGTTTGTCCTGATACACAAATATGTACTTATGCTTTTCCGAATCAATCTGACATCTGCCGAGAATACGTAGCCATTGCATCCTTAAATTCACATCAATGTTTACCAACTCCAACTCAATAAAATAAATTTTGAAAGTCACTCCTTGTGTGGTAAACTGAACATCTCTGCAAACACCATTCCGTTGAACTGAAACACCAGTTTCCAATAAGATCTCTAACTCCCATCTCTTCTCAGTTTTAAGTTTTGTCAACTTCACCATGGCTGGAGAGATGAAGTAGTGCGTTGCACCACTATCTATCATCACTACTATACCTTGCTTCTCCGACACTCCTCTGATTTTAGTAGTTGTAGGTGAGGAATTACCCAAAAATGTAAAGAAATCGTTTTGAGTTGAGGTTGCCACACGATATCATCTTATTCTCACTCTCAATTCTCTTGCTCTATTACTGCTAACTCCATTCCATTCACCACAGTTAATATGTGTAGTCTAGAATTAGGACACAAATGTTGTCGCGACCATTTAGCATTACAAGTATAGCAAAGACCCAAATGTTTTTCCTCAGCTCTTTGAGGTTCTGTTAAACGCAGGTGAGGTCTCTGATTAGTTGTATGTCTTTGTTGTTGATGTGATGGACCCATGTTAGGGTCCGACTGGTTTCCCCGCTACCACCCGCAAACGCAGCTTTTGCGGTTGATGGCGGTTGCTAGCGTTTTGCAACAATCACAAAAACCACTACAAATCGCTTCAAACCGCTCTCAACCTCTTAAAATCAAAAGCTGGTTTCAGCTAGCGTTTGCGTTTGCGGACGATTGCGGGTGGGTAAAAAACTATTTTTTAA